AAATTCACCATATGGCCATCAATACTATCAATATGCAATATCGAATTATGCCTAACCTTGCAATTCTCAACGTGGCACTTGAAGCCTGAGTTGCATGACATAGCTATGTGACCTTTCCTCAAACATAAGTAACACAGACCACGTTTTCTTACCTCCTGCCTCCTTTCTCTTACATTCATTTTTGATAACCTTGGACAATCTGTCGCCTCATGATCACCTACGCAGATTTCACAACGTGGTACCTTGACTGAGTTATTTGGGTCTCGTCTAATTGCATGAAAGCGTGATCTCCTATCCACTTGGCCTTCAGAATTCCTTTTACCGAACCTTGAGTTACACTGTACTAATATACCATAACGGGTTCGGGCAATTCTGGCCCTCTCTTCTACGAAGACCACAAATTCTTCAAAGCTCGGCTCCTTCCCATGCATCATAATCTTATCGGCGACTTCCACCCACTTATTCTGCAATTCTAGTGGTAGGCATGAAACCATTATCTCCAAATTAGCCGTAGAATTGACGTCAGACATGTATCCCATTTCCTTCAACGTTATACATACATTACGTAACTTAATCGCAAAGTCAGTTAATACGTCAGCTGATCCTCCGACAGATTTATGGTTTAATAATTCAGTGATTAGTTCTCGTGCAACAAGATGCTCTTTACCAAATAAATCATATAAAATTCGTTTAGCCCTATCATAGCCTAAATGACTGGGCAAAGAAACGCAAGATTCAATTGCTGTTCTAGCCTTTCCTTTGCAATAATATAATAAATACGACAGCAATTGGCTCTTATCTGACAGTTTACTCTGTATAAGGCTATTAAACTGACTGATGAAACGGTAATACTGACCCGGTTGCCCATCAAAATACATCATATCGATCTTAGGTAAAACCATGTTACTAACCATTGTATGTAACGTGTCCTTCAGTTCGCCAACCCAATCGACCTTTGAGATGCTACATACGTTCCCTGAGTGACTATTACACCCAGTATCACAATCCAAATAATTTTCCACTTTAGCATTTATCTCACATTTATCTACAGGTAATCGTTCTTCGTCCTCGACGGCCTTGCATTCTAGTTCGGCGATATCAACCTCTTCTTGAAGATCTAACATCTTAAGTTGCCGTTCCAATTCAAGTCTCTTCTCTAAATTCCTTTTCTTCAGTAATGCCTTATCTAACTTTAATCTAGAAGCACTTAATTGGCTAGAGGACATACTATTAATACTAACATCATCACATTTATCATCATTAACATCAGACATACCGCAAACAGCTTTAGAAATTTTACTATCCATTTCGTTATTTTCCTTCAGCCTTTTGCTCCGCGTTTCCATCGTATTGATTGTTCCAAGGAAATCGATTACCAAAACAATTACGAGTTAATCCACACGAAACCGACCAATAAGATCAGGAAATTGAATCCAAATATCCAGAAAATCCAAGGTATAAACACAGAACCAATAATTGAAGAACTTTATGTTACGTCCAAGTTTTGCTCGTTCTAGTTATTGAAGTACGGACTATCGATCTACTTGCAAATTACGAACCCAAATTAATAACAGAACCAAACTCCAATTTGGATACCAAATTTATTCGTAATTCACAAATAATCGACCAAATGTCGTTCTAACAACAATAATTATAATAATTACAAAACAAACCTTCAATTTTGTAGGTTCCCGGAGCAAAACTCCCAAATACCAAACCAAAGATAGAGAGAGCACCAAAATACCAAACCAAGGACAAACCAAAATGTCCGAAATAATGATATAAACAAACAAGTTCAAAGTTAAGTAAAACAATTACATCCAAAAACACAGTGAATTATTAATGTACAATAAAAAGGTTTTAATTTGCCAAATGTCTTCAGTTCTCCCGTAACACCTAGCATTTGGGAAACTCCAATTATGGTTTTTCAAACAAAGGCATCATGACGGAATAAGCTTTTCAGATTAGAGACAAATTTATCCATACGCTTTATCTAGTGCAGAAGCCTGTCTTCTCTTATAGCCTTCGTGCGTATGTTCCTCATATGTTTGTATTGCCTGTACGTGACGTTCGGTTCATTCATATTCTGCCCAATAGTGCCTTTCGAGGCTTAGCAGACAGAGAGTGCGGTTCTTGATGACTGTAGCTTGCTTGTAGCTTTTGGGGACCGTTTGAGGAACTGACTGTTTTGTAGCACTTAAGAACGTGTACAGTAAGAAGTCCCAATCAGCATCCACATCAAGTTTAGGGTGAACATCCCAACCCACCTGTTTTAGGTAGTCCTATATAGCTGACAAATTTAACAGTTTGAAATTCCAGCACATGTTGTTGGTGGGATATCTTAGCTCATTTTTGCTGACAAAACTAAGAGCTATGACGGCGTGATCGCTTTTCACAAGGGAGCCAGGATTGAGAGGTTGTCAATGAGCAATGTTTTGTTTATAAATAATCAGTCTAAGTGTGACGATATCTGGCTGTTTCTTCAGCGAGTCGTATAATCCCACATCCTCAGTGAGTTTGGAGAACCGAGCTTCAGTTGGGTTTTCACCTCCAATATACGTATGTTCGGCGAAATTGACTCTAGGGAGATTGAAGTCCTCTAGAATCAGGGAGTGAATGAATCCGAAACGAGTGGAGAGTGATAGTTCTTCCAGCATACGACTTTCATACTCGATGTTGGCGGTGGGCTCTCTATATATGACTCTGACTAGGAACCTCGAAGTAGTAGACAACCTTACAGAGCACCATATGAATTTCTCAAGATTGTTAAACTCGAGGTTATGAACCTGGTGTATCTCCAAGCAAGACCGTATGTATACGGCTACTCCACCCCCAATTCCTGATTTCCTGTCGTTACGAAACATACATCACATGTACTGCTAACTCCCGGTCCGAGAACTGAGAAGACATCCAAGTTTCAGATATTCCTATCAAATGAACATTATGAGTATTGCTAAGCTCACGTAGCTCATCTATTTTGTTTGGTAGACTCGCGGCGTTCATGTATAAGCAGTTTATGCTTTCAATTTGAAACGCATGAGTTTCTTCCTGTTTGCCTGTATGAGCCTTACGTGAATGGACAGGTAGTTTACCTATATAAGGTTCACCGAGTCGGGAAGCCCTGTCCTTTAAACGTTTTTATCATCAAGACAGTCCACAAGTGGAATGGTCATCTTCAACTTACCTTAGTGCTTGTTCCTGGCGTCATAAGGCTTATCCGGATGCATATGGATTCCAGTTGGCAACCGACGTCTGTTGGTACGAAATGCTTCCAGAGTTGCAGCTGCCATATGGGAGGATGGGAAATTTATCCTCATTACCCGGGGTCTAGAATCACCGTCCTCCTTTGCTTGTCTCGTCAAATGTTGAGTTAGTATGTTTTTGAGCCTCAAGGACTGTTTGATGAATTTCCATTTCGTAATATCAGAGTTTGCTTGACGAGAGTTCGTGTTTTCCGGTACATCATGCACAATTATATTTCTTCCGTGGAAAAACTTCTCGCGAGATTCTTTAGAGATGTTCCGGATGAGACTGTGCTCAGAATACGATATGTCGGGCAGTATTCTTACGTTCCCATCGGATTTCAGTAAATGACTAGCTAGTAGGACATCCTCTACGTCGGAGGCATTCTTAAGTGTTACACGAAGTAGCCTCGAGTGATATTGATGCTTAGATTCCTTTCCCCGAGTGAGCCGTGTGACCGTCAAAGGCTCTATTCTAGGAAGTTCAAGTTTCTTGTTCAATTCACCCCAGAGCATCCTGTCATTTTTGTCCTGCAAACTGAGAGGAATTTCAGGGTCGTCTTTGAGGTTCATAATTATGAGCGAGTCATCACGAACCATCATTGTTTTCCCAAGTTTTTTGGTGCGTTCCGGTTCAGCACCTTGTTGTTGGGAAATCGAAGCACGTTTCTGAATCTTAAGCTCTTTGATGACCGGACGGACGTTCTTGGGGGTAGACTGTGCGACCAAATCACCGGTTGATTTCCGTACAACACTTGGGATATTCAGCTTAAACTGTGACGCCCGGTTTTCTTTAGTTCTACTGACGTGGGTCCAATCACCTACAGGGTTTTTGGGAATCACTGTTGCATTCAAGGACCTTGAGCTGGGAGATACGAGTTTACTGAGGGAGTCTCTTACCGTCGACGTAATGATGGTGCCGAGTTTGAACATGTCATCATTAGTGCCAATGCATGCTCCATCGATGGTAGATATGTCGACATCCCTATTCTTGTTACCGTTGCGCGCACTTGTTTGTTTACCTGTTTAATGACTGTCTTTTTCCATGTTTTCTGACAACTTACTTTGCAGACCTGTCAACAGGACAATGATGTTACTCAGCAAGACTACAGCATCCGCGCTGCACGCAACGCATTTCCACTTATGAACTTTCTTAGTCTGTTGTAGGCAGTTGCTGTCAAATCTGCGCACGCTTCGTGGAACCAACCTTTGCAGTTATTGTACTGCATGTATATTGTACCAAAATATAATATTGAATAAAGCCATTAATAATAATAATAATAGTAACAGCAAAACGGCATCCAGGTCATTCGCATGAATTTTTCATGACTATATTGACGTAAGCTGTGTTATAAATGCTAGTAAAAGCCAAAGATCATAAAAATACACTGAAAAGCACACTAAAAACGAGCAAAAATGTATAAAAACGGATGAGTTAAACTGAACTAACTTTACATGAAAAACTGAAAAAAAAGCGAATGGTAAAATGGAGAAAACCATTGTTAACTAATAAATTGAATGAAACTGGGAAAAAGTTATCTACCAAACGTATGGCTCAGAATAGATTGTGTTGATCAGAAATGGTACTTTTGTTGCGTAAGAACACAGCAAAAGTTTGATAAATATAAATCACATTAGGACTAAACTTTGAAAAAATAACAGAATATTACAAATCTTATTAGCTGTGTGTGTGTCTCGCATGAAAAACCTATTAAGACTCACTGTTCACTGGATTTTGTTTTACCAAATCAATAGTCATAAAACTGAAAGTATTATTCAAATTTAACTGGTTAAAAAGTGCAATTGGTTTTCGTACTCACTAAATCACTAAAGTAATTGTTGAAAGCTGTGAACACATGTTTATTGAAAGTAATAACTCGAATGTAAAAAATGCGGTTTCTTCCCAGTTTTATTTTTTGATATTTTTCATGCATTTCTCTAGTTATGAAAAATATATACGTTATTATACTTATGAGAAGTAGTATTTCTGTTTTTTTACTGATCTGAAACTCATTGAACACGTGAAGTTAGAGAGACATTCATTTCTTATGTGTGCCTCAATTTTGAAAGGTATGAGTTCAAAATGTAGTGTTTTACACCTTTAAATTGTTTATTCACATGTCTTTATGAATCTCAAATCACTATCGAATTACTCTTCCATAACATATAGTTAGGAACACTTTCCAGGTTTTCAGAACTTAGGTTTTTTTCGGAGCACCTTAGGTGGACTTTGAAATGTTCTACTTAGCAGCCCCTTCAAGGTTAACATACGTAATTCTGCTATATCATGCTCTGGTAAAGTATCTTCTCAGTCCTTTCATATGAACAAATGTGGGATACTGGCACAAAACACCGTTTAGAGACATCAACTGTTGGTACGTGGCGTGAAGAGGGGTCTATGATTCCTGAACCGTCTATACAAGCCCATGTTGATTTTGAATAATATTTGTTTTTGTACAGTCTTCAGTTCGTTATACTTTATTTAAAGACTTAGTGCTTCCGAAAACTAAATAGCTGGTGATTAGTCGGTGAACAAGTCATATTGCGTGCTTAACCGTAATTACTGTGTATCATCTCTAATCGTATATCACTTAATGTGTTCGAAAACAAGACAGAACCGCAGGTCAGTGATCATAATGTATGAATGCAAAAATGCCAAACTTCATATATAGGATACCAACTAACAAAACTTTTCTTATGACGCACCATGAAGATGCTATCAGACTCCTAACACCCGAGGATGTACAGGTCTTGATGGAATCTGGTGTCTGTTTAAAAAATATATAGTTTTAGACCTTTAAACTAAATCACTTCGTTGTATTACGTTGTAGCTGTGTTATACCTTAACTTCGTCTAAATGTGTTAAATCCCACATTCTTGTTTTTTTTGGCTTAGGTTCATAAGATTTTTAAACATATTTTTGCTACAAATATGTAATTTAAATTCAAAAAGTGTTTGTTACACAAAATACTTATGACAGAGTTTGTCTGACCGCAAGTTTCAGAATATATTTCATTCATATGTGATCTTATGTGATGTCATTCAATATTTGGACAGTATGTATGCCATTACTTTTGTAAGAAGTCCCATTATACATTTGAAGTCTTTGTGTTACAGAGAATTCTGTTTTATGCGATACTAATGTGAGCTAAACCAACGGGTCTTTGCTCCAAGACGTAATGGGAGATTATTTAGTATGACATCCTTTTTCCAGATACTCGATGTGCATACACTGACTAAAAAGGATCGGATTAAATATTTATTTTTCAAAGTTAAGATCTTTGAAGTTTTCTGTCATGCAAAATTTGCTACGGAAAATTTTATTGGTCATTAATTTCATATGTCTGATTCATACTTTCTAAATCCACTAATATTTAAAATAAAGATATTAGTTGAAATTATTTTATAAACAGATTTACGTACATTTTGAGTAAAGCATTTCTAGGTGGGTTGTTTTGTATATTGTTTTGATTGTTTTACATGCAACATCTTTACAAAAAGCAACATTGTTACCATTCTTGCACTGATAATCATCGTTTATACAATTTATATATGATACAACTAATTGTATACATTCTCACTGTTGATCAAAGCTGTTATGTAGTATTTAAACATTTCAAAGTACCATTTGTCAGACATTAAATGTTTAGTACTAATTTCGTAGAGAAAATATTAACTAGTTTATTTTCCTTGAAAAATAATTTGATTCGGAGCCGTATATAGAAATGCAACTTCAATAGTCTAATAAAGCAAAATTTCGTTGCAAGAATTTTTTCTCCTTGGTTCATACATACTATTGAGTCTGAAATCGTCGTCTGAAACGTTTTCAAATAACCGAATTATTAGTTTTGGTTAGAAAAATGCAAAGACTTGTATGAAAATAATCTGACAGAACGTGTTTAAAATTGGCAAATAATTACTTGATAGCTCTGTATTTTTTATTTATCTAAAACAGGAGCTTCAACAGTTTTCTCGAATACTTCAAATAATTGTTATCCCTTAAAAATTTATAGTCTGAAAACTAATATTTTCAATCAAAGATGTAAAGTCAGTTGTTGCTATAAGTTGCAAATGCATTGAAGGCCACAATTTATTTAAAAAATTGAAGTTTATATCAGTGAAAAGTGAAAACTTAGAACTAGTAGCTTCTTGACACAAAATAATTTAATATTAAATGAAGAGTTATGCCATATATTTTTCTTTATGAGACTGTTCAAGCGATTTAGTTCTCAGATATAGAACATTGCACATAGAAGTCAATAAATGATTTTTAATACTAGATGCTTATAACTATGAAATTCGGTTTCATAAAGTACGAGTTCTTAGATGCACGAATTTCTTCGTCGACTGATCAAATGTGAAATTTCGTAACAATATTTTTACAATACATTCAGAATTGGATAAAAGTGCAAATCAAACAGTCTACTGGGATGGAATCTGATGATAGCTGCGAAATAGCCTCGGTACTTACAAGAGCAGATACCAAGTCTGATTTATCTGATAATCAGACCATTGATTGGAGTAATCATCAAAATCTAAGGAAAGAAAACTATACAAGTTGTGATGGTTGCCTATCAAATGTAGAAGTATTATCAGATAGTTGTTCGAACAAACAATTTCACACTTTTTCATCAAAGCTAAGAGGTAAGTTACTTTGTTCGGATTTCAATCGTTTTACCTAGAGCAAGGAAAGAAGATTAAACTCCTGGAACAAGAGCGAATCGGCTTTTTGGAACAAATAGCCAATCTCTGTTCATCTTTAGAAAAAAAACAACAAGAGTTGGTTGATGTTTTGAAACTTTCGGAAGAGAAAGCAAAATACCATGCTCATTACATGACTGAGGTTTGTTTGTAATTCCTTATCGATTTTGTCATGTTTGCATTGTTGTCGCATATAGTGTATGTACGTAGATTAACTGTCTACACAGGTGTAGTTGTTTTATAATTATCTGATTGTTCCACCATGAATACTCACAGTTCTTGATCACGATAAGATCACTCATTAATTTACTGTATTACAATGGTATCCATATTTTTAATTGGTCTCTATTCTTAGCCAACTTTGCATATGACACAGGTGAATCATCACCTGTTTCCATTTAAAATTTCAGGAAGCATGTGTATGGGTCCATTTAAAATGAGATGAAAAACTGAGTTTTAAATTAAGCAAATTTTGGATTTTAGGTTATTAGGCACTACCATTTATTTCACTTTATGACGCGTTATACCACCCCATGAGGTATATAATCTGAGCATAGACACAAAATTGTTACCGAGAAGTTGACTATACACAGAGAAAAGCCTAAATGTACGTCAGTTAATGGAAAAGGTGTATATCAAAATAATTGTTTTCAAGATGGTTTAATAATGTATGACGTGCTGAGTTTTTTCGTCACTGTAAGGTAAGAGGTTAGAAGGGCGCTGGTAAACTGAGCAAACTAAGTTTTGATTTTAGTTTCTAGAACGTATCCTGTTATTATATCTCAGCACATCGAAAGATTATATGCTTCAGTTAAAAATTAATTTATAGGTTAACTTATGAACTTAAATTATAATTGAGTTCTTGTCGATTCTTATTCTGTGATTTCTTTTGCACTCTTGGAATAAAATAAAAAACAGGTTAGCAGTCTACTAGCCGAACTGAAAACACTATTTTCAGAGCATTCAAACTGTTTTAATCCAGGAAATCAGGCTTTAATAGATCAGGGTGAATTTGGGAATAAGAATGGAGTTTCAAATAGTACCGATACTGAAAACGTACAATTGAGTTCCACTATTGGTTCAGTGGAAGGCGCTTGCTGTTCAGAATCTCAGCAAGATCATCGTGGCCGCGCTCTGATTAATGAACTATCTGCTACAGTAAGTGCTGTCAAAAATATGAACAGCAAAAAATTGATAAAACACGACCCTTCTCCACAAACCCCACATATATTTGGTAAGCATTCTTTTATAATTTCTTATAAATCTCGTGGTTATTTTTCTTTTATGTATTATAAGAGTTGGTAAACTAAAATGTAATTAATTCGAATTATTGAAAGTGACTTTCAGTGTATAATTTACATTCTGTGGATAAACGAAGTGTAAATTATTTGAATATTCAAGAAGCACTCTTAAAGAAGATGTAAATCAAAAAAGGGAAATAACTAAATCTTTACATAATGGCCAACAGTGACAATAGAATAAAGAGCTACTGTATCCTTTCTACTGAATTTGAATTTGGGCCATGTTATCAAGGACATCTGTTAATTGAATTCCATATACCACATGCTCCTCCAAAAAGTCCTTAATTGCCTTCGTGACCATAACCAACCGGGACAATATCTTGAACTGATCACTTTTAACATTCTACTATATCTGAGTAAAGTGAACAGTCTGACCTTTTATAAAGGTTGAAATCGGGTATAGGGTGAAAAAATTTCGAATTTATTTTCATGATCTGTCATTATATCTATAACCATTAGAATTTATTCATGACACTTGTCAAACATCTTAACCGTTGTTGAAAAAAAACAGTTATGTCTTTTCATATACACTGACGGGTTGATGATAACAATGTAAAGTAAATATTGTAGTTACGTAAGGTGCAATAATTCTACATATAAAAGTCTAGGATACAGAATATAGTGGAACAGAGTCTAAGATAGTTTCACATCCTTTGATGTCTCCATCAAAACGTTGTAGTGTTAAGAGATGATTATAGCATCATGGCATGTCTTTTGTACCAAGATTTCTGTTTGGCATCCATGCAAAATAAAGAGTACCGTGGGAAACTGTGACTTTTTAAAGAAATATATTTTAGAGGCTGATGATATCTCGAGTAGAGGCTTGCAAGTGAAATAATGTGTGTCCCCAAATGCCCTGGTACGGCCGAGAGTGGGGAGAGTCCGCTCTCCCTCTCGAAATGCTCTCACATGGCCACGCGTGTATAGCCTCTGCCAGGGAAGTCCTACTCACTGCCTTCTCGGGGCATTACTGTTGTTTACGAAAATGAGAGGATGAAAAGCAAATGTCCGGCGCTTTAACCGGATTCCAAACCAATGGTCACATGGGCTCCAGTATCCTGCGGGAACAAATGGCGTATGAACCAATTGTTGGTCACCGGCTACCATGGGACTGTATCTCCTTACGATGCTCCACTGCCTTGTGGATCAGACCCTCAGGTCGAAGGCTCGGGGTGTGGCCCCCTAAGAAAACCACCTGTTTCGGTCTGGGCACCCGGGCAGCATCACAGCCCTCACACATATCGAATGAGATTTGTGTGGCGCATATGTATTTGGTGCCTCTTTGTACCAATATCTATGTGTTGAAATAAATAAATAAAATAAAAGTAGGTAAACTGTAAAATCTCTTAAAGCAAAAGCTTTGATATAATTTCTATTATCTCTCAAAATTACTTATAACGTAAACAGATCCTATTATAAAACTAAGGTAAACAGTTTAACTGAATTTGTTTGCTTTGTTGATCTCCTGTTAATTTCTAATCTACATATATTTGCACTCCTTGACTCTATGTAGGGATGTCTCCATTGATTAGTGGCCATTAATTCGATGTATGTCTTACTCCTCGTAGAAACTTTTCCCTTAAGCAATGTCTTCACTGCACAGTTTGTTTACTTGAAAAATATGCAAACTGCCTAATTATTTAGTGCAATATTTTATTTCAAAGAATATTTAGGTTGAAATAATTAACTTACTATTTAGACCATTATTCCTGCATTATATATATATATATATATATATATATATATATATATATATATATATATATATATATATATATATATATATATATATGGAGAGAGAAGGAAATTTATGACTGAGTTACATTACTTTCAGGGTAGTATACGTTTGAATGTTGTCTTCTTAACAAAGACTAGTGAGAAATCCGAAATTAACTATCACTTCACTATAAAATCATTAGTAGTCCGGAGTTTAGTTGGAGTCTCATTTTCCATCAGTTTTCAGTTTTCCTTGTTTTAATTGATGATAGTTTGAGTTGTCTGGTAGATTCAAGTGAAGGAAACTTGAATATAGTGTTCAGCGAAACTGAAATATCTTAAGAAACCGGTGGCTGATTTTTTGTTCGAATTAATGTATATTTTAATGCCTCCACTATAGCATTTCAGAATTTGTGAACTGTTTAAAATCAACTGTGTAGCCTTTTCTAGGTGTAGAAATTGCTGTATTAACAAAGGTTATTTTATGTAGTCAACTGGTTCAACACATAGTTCTATTTAAATCATTTGTAAAGGTTTTTAACTTAACTACCATAAAATTCCAGTCAAGCGTAATGATTTCTAAATCATAGCCACAGTTCTGTGATTTCAGGAAGATATCTTGATAGTTTTAAGATATTTTCCTTCACTTCTTATGGTTTCTCTTTGTAAAGAGACTTTTTTCTCAATATTGAGTTTCATTCGAAGAATTATGAACCTGTTTAAATAATAATATTCCTAATGAATGTACACCTTCACGTTCTACATTTACTTTACTTAAGCCTATTGTATTTACAACTTAACATCAATCTTAGTTTTTCCAGTCAGTAATTAATCTATACACAATATCGTTTTTCGTATTCACTCCTAGCATAAATTATAAATGAATAACATTTAGCGTCAATAACTTGGTCGTTTGACCTTCAAAAACACTTATAATAGGGTTAAAAATCTTTGTATTACTCTGTTTTCTTTCATTTTCTTTAGTATCTTTGTTTATATAGGCAAAATTAAAAATTTTATGGAATTCGCGCACGAGACCGAAGGTCCTGGTATTGAGTCTTGTGTGTGTAGTCGTGTATGAGCACTATTGAAGGGTCACATACTAAAACGAAACGGCCGTTTAGCGCTTTAAGTTTTCAATGGTGGTCTAACATTGATCCATTCATGATATCAATCCAAACTCAACAATCTCCACAACACTATACTTGTAATTCTAAAGCTACCAGCCGGACCTTTTCCTAAATTATTTTTATTGAGAAAATTTAGTTTTACCTAAGCTAGATGTTGTAGTTAAACCGGTTTCTTTACAATTGCTTCTTATAATCGTATAAAAATTCTGATTAAGCAAAGATTTTTCTAAATTCAAGGTTTGTGGGATTCATCATGTAGTTGATATTTTTAAGATATAAGTAAATATATACTGTATACATATATACATTTGTGGCTTGAAATATTGTTTTTAGGAGTACGTAGCCATGTAGCGGTTTGCATCTAGCCAGAAGGTACTTTGTGTACTAGGGGAGGATGCAAAGTATCATGAGTGAGAAGGGCTGTGAAGAAGAAGAATGAAAGGAAAAAATAAGTCGAAGGCCCAGATGGTGTACACAATACAATTACATTTACTATAGAAAGCAACAGATAACAATGAGCAGTAACACAATCCTCAGATTATGACGAAATTGGAAACGAAACTGGAAGCAGATACTTTAACACACAACGGTCCTTATAGTTTAAAAGTGGAGGATATTTTTCAAATAATTATTCGTTTGATGTGTCTAGTTAAGTTCTGTTTTAATTATTTAAATAATTTAAACAAATTAAATTACTGATTGATTTTTTAGCTTCATATAGGTTTTTCTGCTTTGCATCTAAAAAAAAATTAATTGAATTTATAATCACCAGGATATAGAGATGAAGAAATTATAAAATAATTTTGTGTGAACTTTTCATGTGATACATAATGAGACAGTTTGTGAAAAAAATTATCCCTGACATGTTATCAAGCTCATTCAGATGGAATTTAGTAAAAGGTGGTGATTAAGTGTGTTTAGTAAATATATACTGGTGTAATGATATACCGCAAGACAGAAACGCTTTGACTTATTTGTCCGTTTTATTGATTTCTTTTTCGAATGATTAATTATTATCATTTTAAGTTTGTTTATTAAGCTTTTATATTCTGAATACACTTGAGTGCTGACTGAAACAGAATAAAGACATAAAATTTCTATCAGAATACGAATTTCTGTGATATATATGGCATTAAAGATTGATTAGGTTATCCAATCATTGGTTTTTAAACTTTGGATGTGCTATGATACTGGTATTAGACCATTCCTACCTTTGTCTCATCGATCACATAGACTTAAAGGTAGTCATTCTTATTTCCAACAACTTTGTATCAAAATAAATTATATTTTTTGAAATCGGAATCGACTGGAGAAGGAAATTAGTTTCCTTTATGTCAATAAATTATGTATTAGGCAAATATAAATTTTGTGTGATGAAATGCAGGTAGTAATTTGTCACTCCTCAGATTCACCTTGATTTTTATTACCTCAGCATCTGATTTTGTTCACTGTTAGTTACTAAATGCTTTTACACAAATAACTTTGTGTATACCAATAAACTGATTAATTTGTAACAAAAAAATAGTGAATTACAGAAAATGCTTCATTATATCTCTAAACCAAAGTGAATTAACCATTGATCTTGTAAATTATTTCACAGCATTTGTTCGAATTAACCTCTACAGTCTTTTGAAAGCTGCATATATATATGTTCAGAATATTCATAGTTCATGCAAGATATGTAGAGTAGCTTGTAAGGTGATAAGTCAAGTTTATTTAATATATGCTGTCTTACTATAATTTCCTATTTAATTTTTGCGTTTCAAAAGCAGTTTATTTTTTAGTGAATGGTAATATTTTTGTATAAATATATTTTAAAATGTTTGAAAATCACCATCACATTGAAACACATATATAAGCAAAGAATATTCTTTTTATTAAATTTGATGAATACTTATTCAATCAGACAAAAATCTATTAATAACTACATTCGTTTTTCATATTTCTTTAATTCTAAAGTTTTTATTCTCGGTTTTTATTACAACTCTATCACTTTACTTTCCTCGAGATTATTCTCATCATATTTTATTGTGCTCTTAATATAATGAATAATTATTATAGAATCATACATTCTCTTAAGTTCTATC